GGGGGGGCTTTTTAGCAAATAAAGAAAACAATACCAAAATATTGTAAGAAAATTCAGTTAAGCACAGAAATAATCTATTCAATTTAAGGTAATTAAAAACCCCAAATGAAGTAAAACATTCAATACGTTCTCAAAAATCGAAGAATTAGGACTACAAAAACCCAAAAATTACAAGGTAATAAGCTAAGAAAACGCACCTTTCTCGAAGAATTGATGAAATAGCTATTTAATTGAACAATCGTTTGTGAGTATTCTGGATTGTAATTGCTCCCCAAGAACACAAAGCTTTTAGAAATTAGAATTGGACATTGCGGTTCTAGGGTTTTGAAATATATTTTGGGGGTCGAGGAGAAGGGATAGATCAGTGAATAAATATTGGGGTGAGGGTATTTTGGGAAGATCTGCCAAATATTGGGGTGAGCGTGTTTTCACTTGCCTCTCCTTTGTTAATTCTCTTCTTTTTCCTTCTTGCCAGCGGTTTTGACTTGAATATAAAAGTTTAACTTATCTTCTGAATCTAATCTATCTAATTAATTATTAAAACAAAGTCAAGCATTAAGAGTTTTTTTACAATATTGTTTTCTTACAAAATTTATCCAAAGCAGAATTTCATTATATCTAAAGCAAACTTTAATTTACTAAACTAAGGTTCATCTCGTATATCATAGCAACCACATATTGCTGAGATTTAAGAGAAAAAATAAAATTCAAGACCTAAAGAGCAAGCAGAAAATATGAAATATTGAAGATAACACACTCCAAAAAAGGTAAAATACAAAATTAGTCGGTCGGCCAAAATTAATCGCGATAAACCTGGCATAGCCAGCGTCACGGTCTTAGCGTGACAATCAAGAATAGCATAATGGGGCGACAACCAGTCCATGCCCAAGATAACATCAAAATCTACCATGCTGAAACAATAATAAGTCGACTCTGGTCTCAAAACCACTAAGAGCAATCAAACACGACTGATACACGCGGTCCACAACAAGAGAATCTCCCACGGGAGTAGACACATAAACAGGGGAACTCAAAGAATCCCATGATACGCCCAAATACGGGGCAAAATAAGAAGACACATAGGAATATGTAGAGCTTGGGTCAAATAATACCGACGCATCTCTATGACAGACCGGGACAATACCTGTAATGACAGAATCAGAAGCGACTGCCTCTGTACAAGCAGGAAGGGCATAATATCTGGCCTGGCCTCCCCCTCTAGGGCGACCTCTACCTCCCCGACCTCCACCTCGGGCTGGCTGAGCAGGTGGGGTGGCAGCTGGTGCTGGAATCATAGCCTGAGGACCCGGTGGAGCACGTTGTGGCTGAGAAGTCTATGGAGGTGCACCCCTCATATATATGGGGCAATCCCTCACCATATGGCGAGTGTCGCCACACTTAAAACAAGCTCTGGGAGGGCGTGGTTGGCTCGGGACATATCTGCTGGACTGGCCGCTAGGAACACCCCGTGCAGGAGGCACACTAGATACTGGCGGCGCATAATAAGGCTCCTGGGGCCTAGAAGGGGCTGGAACACCACTGGCGACTGGAAGAGCTAAATGAACGGGGCGACTCACATAACCCCTACCATGATGAGCTGATGAGGCACGAGCACCCGAATAATAACTAGTCTCTCGAGACCTCTTGGCCTCTCTCTCCTCTCTGTCCCGGACAAGCATGCCCTCCAATCTCCTGGCAATACTCACAACCTACTGATAAAAAATATCCATCTCCAACTCCCTGGCCATACTAATCCGGATGCTGGGGTGGAGTCCCTCAATAAACCGCCGAACCCTCTTTCGAACTGTGGGAACCAAGGCCGGTGCATGTTGGGCCAAATCACTGAAGCTAACTGCATACTCTGACACAGTCATAGCACTCTGGCGCAGTTGCTCAAACTCCGCGCGCCATGAGTCCATGAGGCTCTGAGGGACATACTCTCTCAAAAACATGCCCGAGAACTGAGTCCATGTAAGTGAAGCTGCCTCATCCGGACTACTCAGCTCATAAGCACGCCACCACTGATAGACTACTCCTCTAAGCTGGAATGTAGTAAAAGAAACCTCGCTCGTCTCCGCTACACCCATAGTACGGAGAATACGACGACACTCTTCCAGAAAACCCTGAGCATCATCTGTAGCCGATCCACTGAATGTAGGTGGATGGTACTTCTTGTACCTCTCAAGTCTGAGTTGCTCCACCTCAAAAGTGGCTGCCCTAACTTCGGGCAAAGCTGGAGCTACCGGCTGCATTGGTACAATCTCTGGAACCTGGTCGACCTGAACCCGCTGCTCTGGAGTACCGACGACGGGAGTCTGTGCTCCTCCCCCGGCCTGAGATGTGGCAGGAGCAAGTGGAATCAATCCAGCCTGAGCTAAGGTGCTGAACATGCTCAGAAACTGGGCTAGAGTCTCCTGGAGGGCTGGTGCAGAAATAGATGCCTTAGGTGTCTGCCCTCGAGTTGGAGCTACTGGGGGCTCCTCTGTGGCAGCTCGTGCGGGTGCTCTGGCTGCACCACGTGGACGTCCTCGGCCTCTACTGTCGCGCCCCATTTTCTCTTTTGTGAAAGCGAGCGGGCTTCGACGTTGTGACAACTCCTTTTTAGGATGGGAAATAGAATGCTAAAAGAGAATAGTCGCCACCTAACGATTTTTTAGGTGCGTTAGGGCACCTATTATGCAAATGACTATGTTTTACTAATCAACGTCCCCAAAGATCGGGTAAGGGCTCAAGTTACCTCAAAGAGAAGGTGTTAGAAACTCCCCGAGGTCCACAACTGTGGGTCCCGGACTTAAGATTATATGGATTACGATTAAGCAAAGTGATCAAATAAACAAAGGGAACTTAGAAGTCAAAGAACTTTATTACAACATCAGATCTTAGTGCGAGTATAGGGATATAACTATTTAGATCTAATAACAACATATAAAGAGGAGGGGGGGTCCTAAGTTTTTTAGCCTAAAGGATCACCCCATGCAATATAAATAATACTTCTTAACTCCCTCAAGTTGGGGTGTTACTCGCATTATTCAGCGGGCACAGACTATCATCTCCTGCTACCCGATTACTATGTTAAGGTTGTTACCTAAAGCGCACTAATTCAATTATAAGTCATACCTTATGCGTGCACTACCCGTCCCATACCTATGGTCCAGGAGGGAATTGGACCTCTATTTACGGTGGTTCTAGACTTAAACTTAGGCTGCTCAAAATGATAAAACTAGGCGACATACAAAATACATTGGACTTCAAATATGGCAATAATGGGGGCTCAAGTTTGCCTCCGCACTTAAGCAGTAAATGCACACAAACACATATGCCAATCAGGAATCGGCAGAATCCTATAGACATATTTTTTAGGCGATCAAAGTATGCAAGTAATTTCGGATGCAGAATATAGCTTATAGACATAATCATGCGGGTATCATAAGTTAATTGTTGAGAGTTTTAAGTTACCAATCCTATATGTGCGATGCCTAAGTGATCTACGCAATTGGGTACAACAGAATCTGCTAGGGAAAGAGTCCCAGAATTATTCGTACGACGTGCATGAAGCAGTGTTTGAATGGTCTAGCATTAACCAATTATAACGAGCAATTATTTCATATAGGCAGGATCTCTAATGCATAGTACTTCAGAGCTTGTTTTGTTTATACTTAATCCTATAAACAAGATTTCTAATGATCAATGTGGTACAATAGCAAATGAAGTGGTCAAAATCCTATAGGCATGATTTCTAATGAATAACTGAAGTGAATTGCAGGAAAGTTCATTTGTTCCTATAGGCAGGTTTCTAATGCGGTTGAAGGCAGTCATGCAAATTGAAAGAGTGCTCACTTCCTATAGTCATGATGTCTATAAACACATAGCAATAGACATAGCATTTGAACTCATGTTTAATAGTAAACAAGTAATGTGTGTGTGTGCTCCCCTTAATATCATGATCCCTACAGTGCTCATGTAGTCGAACAACACATATAGCAAACATATTACCAAGTCCTATATGCATGTTATCTACCCATTTTGCATGTTAGTATTAGAATCTACCCCATTCCCTTTTACTAACACCCCAATCGTTTATACAAAGATTATTATTACATACCCAAATTAATAATAAAGTAGTAATATTACATGACAATAGATAGGCCTATAGCAGGCCCAAATAGAATAATTAAATGCCCAGCCTTAGTGGGCCTTCAAAACTTCTAGCATAGCAAACTTAGGCCTTCAACAAAAAACCACACGATCACAGGTCCATAGGGGAGTTCAGACCCCTTTCAATGAGCCATAACACCAAGTCTTGCACCACTTGGAACAACCGATATAGATATACAGTACATGACAGGGAAATAGAGTATTAGGGATAGTTTTGGAGGTTGAGAGAATGACTAGGACCAAGCCCTAGTGTGTCAGAGTTCACAAGGACCTCAATTGGACCCCGAGCAGTGCTCACTTTAGGGAGGTCGACAATAGAACCTAGATAGCCTTGACTTTTAGCCGGCTAAGAATGAGAATTCAGAATAGCATGAGTAGCAAATAAGGAGAGTGGATAGTGATAGAGGGATAGAAATTAAGTACTACACCAAGTTAAGCATACATAGCAACTATGCAGACTAGTAGGTTCTGCAAGACAGCAAAGCACCTTATAGATAGTCTCATATTAAAAGAAATTGGGGAAGCAACAGGTTTGCAAGATATCCATAGATTATCATTCAACCAATTGAGACCTAAGAGGTTCGGATTAAGCTACGCATGCATCATAGGGTCATACTAATCAGTATTTAGACATTGTGATAAACACTGAAAGAGGCAAGATATCAAATGAACAAAAATAGACTAGAAAACATATTAGCATGGAAGCAAGATCATAGTTGAGGCAAAGTGGAATGTTTATCTTAAAATCCTAAGTGATGTTAGGGATGAGGATAACAAGGAAAACATGTTTAGAGTAAACCTCAAAGCAGTGCTCCATATAGTTGTGGCTAGTACACAAAGAACAGTCAATCAGACATAAGACTCAGCATTAAATGATTCATTCAAAGTAAAGAAAGGTTTCCATAGAGTTGTAGTAGTATCCAAAGCAAGGTATGAAGAAATTCTATAACTAACAACATATAGTCACAACAGTCAGATTCAGATCAAAATAGGCATGCATTGAAACTCAAAACTGAAACATATTCAGATGCTAGAGGTACAGAACTGATTCCACAAGAAAACAAAGAACCGACATAGAATTGCAGACCATATTGAAGAACACATACCAGCCTAACACAAACTAAGGACAAAGCAGTAAACTATCTCATGCATTCAACTACCATATGATGACAAAAGAGTATTGAGAATTATCATAACAGTGCAATATCAGGGATTCACAACTAAATCATACTCATATAGTGCA